GAATTCAATGTAGCGCTGCTAAGGGATTCATCCAATCCCAGAGCTATCTACTCATCGAAGGCTGTCGGGGAACCCCCGCTCTTCCTCTCAGCCTCTGTATTCTTTGCCATAAAAAATGCCATTCTGGATGCAAGGCGAGACGCCAATGTTTCCGGCCGATTCAGATTCGATTCACCAGCGACTTCCGCCAGGATTCGCACAGCTTGCACCGATGAATTTGTTACAAAATTTCCTGACATTAACGGAGATAGGGCATGGAACAAAATTCCTTGACGACCCAAAAGGACAAGGTACAAATAAATGAATACATTTGTTTATTTTCATGATTATAATTTCTCTGTGCTGTATATTAAATTATATAACTTGCATATTGAAAAAAAAAATATTGTTATTGTTCAACGCGTTTGTACACATCTCCAAACGCTATCATATTAAATTAATTAAAAAAGGAAAAAACAATGAGGGTCATGAGAAAATTCTACAGGAGAAATCTAAAAAAATGTAAATCTACAGTTCCACAACTTAACTAAATACAATGATTCCACTATATAATCGTTATCTATCCGTTTGTTTTCATTCAATAAATACTTTGAACAATGCACAAGAGCCATAAATAAGTTTGTTTTTTTATTTTCGTTTGTTCTCGCTATAATGACGTATGCTAAAACTATATGCGTTTCAAAATGCTGTATAATAGGACCAGATTATTATATTACACTGGTTTTAACCACCAGTAATACGCCTAATCTACTGCTTTTATGCTGAAACTTATTTAATTTTATCATCTTACGATTTTCTTGTTCTTGTTTTATAATTTCTAGTCTCTTCGAAGTTTCTACTCAATGATAAACATTATGCTACACACTCGTGTTAATTTGTCAATTGATTCTCGTGGTTCTGGTTCATTGCAAAAAACGAATTACGAGATATTCACCGAATAAATTCGTCAATTATGAGATAAAACTCATGACTTCGAGTTATTTACAAAATTTCATAAATACAAAGTCTATTAAAAGTTATTGAAATAAAAGCTGTATGATTTTTTTTCAATTCAAATACATTTTTCTATCTGAATCGGCGCGTATTTCGAGTCAGTCTGAGTTTCATTGTTCTTTTTAATATTGTGGTCAGAGTCTTTGATTTCACCATAAGTTAAAAAATCTTTTCAACGCCTGTTATCTTCTGGAAATAATACGGATATCCGAGTATTTTTAGTCTTAAAATTACTCCTCATAATTTCGATTAAAACAGCACTCTGATATATTTTGATAACGTCAACATACTTTGTTAAAAGGCTCATCATTCATTCATTATTTTGCAATATCTCTTGATGGATTATTATTTCAATGAGAAGTGGATAATTATCGAAAGCCAATTTCAAATCAATTCCACTTGTTGAATTTTTCACCCTTCGAGAACCAAATAACTTACATTAAAATTGGAAAACTCGTGAATGTAAACGACTCCTCCAATGGAAGCTACAATTTTCCTCATTATGATTAATGGATGATTCACTAATAATCGACAATTACCACTGACTGTCACAAAAATACAACCAAATATTCATTAAAAGCCATTTAAAAAATCAATCTCCCAGGAGAAATGCAACATCTCCGACACAAAAAAGCAGCAGTTGATTTGAAATTCTGCGACTCCATTAAAATATAATAATAAAAGGACTTTGAACTAAACAAAAAAATTCGTTGAAGTGACTTCGTTCATGATTGAATCAGCAAAAGCATAATTGCTATATTTAAATAAATGTTCAGCCTGTTAAAAATAATTAATGGACTGAGCCAATCTGTTAAATCGACGAAGAACAGTATAAATGACATTTGACTTTGACTCTTGTTATCCTCGACGAGTTACAGACGTAATATATTATTGACATTGTTATTTATCTTTTCAATGATCTTCACATATTTTTCATTATCATCTACACGTGATTGCAACAGATTATTATGCTTACACACTACTATTCACACTGTGGGCGTATCAATTAAATTATGTATAATGCCTTAAACCGCATTATCACATAAATATAAAACTTTTTCAATCATAAGGCATTCAATAAATTTTATATTTGTTATTTCCCTCTCCGTGCCTCCCTGGTGGAAGCTTGATTATTATTTCTCATTAATTCGATAAGTTTATCTCTAACAATGGTTTTTTTCATTTAAAAACACTACATCGAACTTAGAAATTCATTTTTATTTTGTGTAATGCCTAGAACTGAAGGTCGCCTAATTATTTAATTCATTATTGCTACGGTAATTTGACTGATTTTTGTCTTATTCTTTCAGAGAAAAAATTCAGACTTCTTTTTTCTGTTATTGTGATAATTTTTTTGAGGGAACAATGACATAGAAAATTCGTAAAATTTCGGGGGCATCACGGATAAGCAGGGGCTCTCAAATTTTATAAGTATCTATTTACAATTATTAATTTACGCAGAGGGGTGAAATGATTGAATAGTACTTTATTCACTTCATTTGTATTATGCACGATTTGTGTGTCAAAAATTCAATTAAAAAAATCCCCTCTCTACATTTTCACGTAAAAAAGTTTCGACATTTCATGATTGAATGAACAATACAAATTAAAACTGCTGTCTACATTTAATCCATTTACGTTAAAATAAATAAGGCTATTTGACAGTTGCAAATATTCTAATTCCATATGGACAAAGAACTCGATAAAAATTTGAAGACATAAAAATGATAATAAATTTCGTGTTATATAATTTTCATACCTTTAGTGAGATTCTAGCATATGTTATTTGGCAATTAAGGGATAAAATTAGTTCATAATTTTCTTCATGTTTACAAATAATTATTTTGCAGTAATACTATGGCAACTCGTTAGCCGTAACTGTAGGGATAAGTTTACTGCTTTCAAAGTTGTCTCGACAGCTGCTTGATCGATTTATCGATAATTCGATAGATTTTTTTTTTCAATTTTTTTTATTCTAAGGGAGTTTTGCATCCGCACGCTTGGGATTCATACCTGGTAATGGAGGCTGATGCAAATAAGTAGCTGGCCGATGAGTATATCGGGGTTTATGAGTCGTAGGAAGATGATCCGTGATCGTGGGCTGGACTCGGGGGTGTCGATGGGTTGGAACTGTTGTTCGAGGCGATTGAGTGACGAGGGCTTCCACCAGATGTGTGCTCCTGCTAATTCGTCAGTAATTCATAATTAATTAAAAAAATTTTTGGCAAACAGGTAATGGTCGAAAAAAAAAATGGAAAATTGATAAGTGGCTGCACCTTTTCTTGCAAAGAAGCAACGCTCCCTAGTGACAGTGGTGTATGCGATCGCATATGGAGTGATTCAGTTTCTCCCTGATCAACTGGAGTACGAGGTAACGATGGAGGTGTTGCTGTTGGCCGAGGTGGTGCTGGACCTCTTCTCGACGATGTTGAACCTCCAATTGAAAAACAAAAAAATTACTAAACCGTGAAATCCCATTAAGAAAAATTTCCACTTACCATTATGAGGTGAATATCCAGAATTCCTCTGCATATGGGAGCTGAGACGTCTCGTGTCAGATGGCGGATGTCTAGGAGGTAGTGGCGCGGGCTTTGTCGGCGCCTGGATGCTAGTATTCGCATAAAACTGAAAGAAATTTCAAAATTTCAATGAGAAATCAATATGGAACTGAAAAAGTGAGTCAAATCGAATTTTTTGTTTTTCCCATTATCAATTTATCTCGAAAGCTATCGACTTAAGAGGAAAATAGGATTGGACTCTCACTCTTTGCTGCGGATTGGCGTGTAAATGAGAGCTACTACTGTGATGACTCGCATATTGCTGTTGATCTGCTGTTTCCAGAGTCGTTGGTAAATCTAACAAGCGTTGGATCTGAAAATAAATGATAACCCCTTGAATTATTTTTATCCAGTACAGTGTTATTGGCAATTCAGCAAGAACTGAAAAGTCTATTAAATATCGTGAGAAATTTATTCAATTAACTCACTTGGATACCATTTCCTGGGCCCATGTGACTAATATGATTGAAGTTCGTTGGTGCTGAAATCATTTTCGATCGTCTGTCAGTGGGTCGCGAGCTCCTGTTGCCCTCACGCAATGAAAATCGCCGTCTGGGTCTCGTCATCTGCCTTCCACTGGCATCGAGAGGTGTCAGATTCAACAATTCTCCTGCAACCGAATGAAAACCCCCTTTAAAATTAATTCCACGAAAGATGAAAAAAGCTGGTACTCACGTTGATGAAGATGACTCAAATAAATAACGTACGGCATATCATTGATCATGCAATTGGTCAATGATCCCGAATTATTGAGTGGCCTTGCACGTTTGACGTTTAACGTTTGCAACCAATCCCCAGTATTGCAATCGAAAAGATCCACATGGGTCTCACTGTAAACCAGGAGATATCCCTCGCAATAGCCTGATGAAAAAAAAAATTAATTAATCAATTAATTAATTCCATAGTCACGTCAAGAATTGCGCGGATTTGAACTTTTACATTTTTGATGCTGAATTTATTCTAGGAGAACTGAAAGAGTGTTAATATTAATAAATGTTTATAAAAAAAAATACTGACTGACTGCAGTTGGAACAGCTGGGTACATGATCTCACGGTCTCTGCTCTTTCTCCCTTGGCTGTCTACATAAACAGCGAGTGTTTGGAACACGAGTAAGAATTCACCTCTTGGTAATTCGATGCAGCGGAGTGCATCGATGGCACTGTACGTCAAGAATCCTAGCAGAGTATTTTCAGGATGGACCAATGCTGGAGAAAAAAAAAATTCATCAAGTAAAAAATGAATTCTACTCTCAGATTTTTGGTGTGGATTGTATTTCACGAATTGCCAACTCACAAATGGGATGATGATCACCGAGGATACTGTATATCGAAAAACCCGATGGATACCCAACACATAAACGTCCCTCCGACAGAACTTGGAGTGTTTGTGCATGACAGGGTAACATTAATTCCTGGATACGTTTGTGGCGAGTTTTTGTACGTGTTATTTCGTATATCATCACATGCGAAGCATTCTGAAAGTCAAACCAATGATTAATCCACAACTTGAGAGATGAAAAATAAAAATATACGAGATTAAAAATAATTTAATCCTGGAAAATATTAAATCCAGAGTCTTTCATAATTTTCACACAAATATAATTATAAAAAAAATTTCCACATCATCTCCATCATCTCCACAGCATCTCACGTAATTTTTATCAGGATTACATGACGTCAGAGCGACTTCTGAGAATTGATAAAGAAGAAAAATAAAATTTTGGTGGAAGTACCTGTTTTTTTATTGCAACACACAGGCAGTATGTGAGTGGATTTCGCCTGACAACGCCAGTAGTGAGTGTTATACATCCTTTAGTCTCAGCAACTTTGATCCACTCAACCTCATCACCATCGAGTGCACGCACTGGGACTAGTCTGACATGTCGCTGTTTACCACTGAGTACAACGATAAGTTGTTCCTCAGTTATGTACTCGAGTAAATATATTTTCTTTCCCTCCCCAACTTTAGCAATTTCGCTACGATCTAAATCTAAACAGAATAGGCCCTCCTCGGTACCAATGACTAGACGATCAGGATCAATAATAGCTCCTGACATCACGTTCTTAACGATTGACAAAGTATTGTCCAACAATTCTTTAGCACGAAATATCGTTGTATTTGGAAGATTATTTCTCTTCAATATTCGATGAAGTTCACTCAATGCAACTACCCATTTTGTTTTTTCACTCTCCGTGTCAGCCAGCATCAGAGTATGATTTCGTGAGCCTGGAGGCTCCAGCAATGACGTTGTAATTCTGAATATGCATGGAATGTCTTTCTTCGTGGCATGAATAACATCTGATTCGCGTACAGAACTGACGCCAAACTCCTCGTCCCTCATGTCGAGAACTTGTGAGACATACACGGATGGCAGTGCATTGCGATCAGGTGATATATCATAGAGAAATAATTTGAAATCGCATACAACGACAAACTGTCGAATCCATCCCTTCTTCACACCTCCCATTTTGGGTACTTTAACGTAGCCCTCGTAGGCTGTGCCAATGCCCCTTGTTGGGTCTATTCCAAGGGGTCTTTTTGTCTTGTCGTGGGGCACAGGGCACATTGCTGGCACTTTGTCACAGCATGGCATGTGACAGGCAAAGCCACATACCTCGCATACCACTCCCTGTCGAGTCAATCCAACCATCAGGGAAGTGCAGTGATTGCATTTTGTTGGCGCTGAAAACGTACGCACCAGGAACTGATGGGACTTTGGCTTTGGCTGGAGTGTCGTCACTTGGCTGTGAGATGCCGATGATTTATTCAGCAATTCGTGAGACAGGGGTGATGTTGGATCCTTCAAGAATAAACATTGACAGTTTTTCATTAAATAATTTGCTCTCGCATGATGTCATTAATTTTTTTTGGCGTTGAACTTACTATGCTCAGTTCAGACAAATTACTCTTGCTGCTGGTGATGCTTGGCGCACGATTGTCCTCGATGTCACCCTCGACGCTGTCAACACTACCATGACGAGTACTGCCTGCCGTTTCCTTCAGGAAGTGCTCCAAGTACGACATTTGGGATGTCGGCCGCTCCAAAACTGCAATCAAACACTCAAACTCAATTCCACGAAACCACAAAATCATCAGGGAATTAAGTAGCAAACTGATCAATTCGAATTTCAACTTTCAGCATCTCAATCGATTATTATTAATTATGAAGAGGACTTTCTAACATCTGATCAAATTTTTAACAAAAAAAATCCTCTTGTACTTTTTTTGGGAATCAATATTTTACGAGATCAATTGATATTTGCACAAGTGCAAAATTATATTCGTTTTATTTCACAATTTTGCTGCTTAATTAAAAAATCAAATCTCTGGCGCGTCTCCATTTGTTTATCAAACCCTCAATATAAATCACAATCAGCCCCTAAAACCACAAGTCCACTATCTAAAATCTAAGAAAGGGAAATAACGACGAATAACTATTATTCACTGCTCAACACCTCAAGGTACTCTTTCATCAATGCGCCATGCAAACCTGCATTATTTACGCGTAATTAAGTATGCAATGGATCAGTCCAGTATGAATTACGTGGTAACGGAGTGGAGACAAGTGATTTAGCAATGGAAATTGATTTTTGGATGCGTTCAGAATGCAATAAACTCATTCAGAAAATCTCCAATTCACTCGGTGAGAAAATAAAAGAAATCAAAAACTCGAGCAAAAAGCAAAAAATTCATGAAATATCGCCAATGTACTTACAATCGCGACAATAAAACCTGAGGGGCATGTGGAAAAACCGTTGAAATATTCAATCAGAAATAGTATAAAATAAAAATAGGCAGTAATGGGGAGTAATCGGGAGTAATTGCAGTAGTTGTTAATTAGCCAACGCATAAAACTCATGAAAATCCTTCACTCGGACTAAATCTCCCTCATGTTCAAAATTACCAGACGACGATTCGGTGGCAACAGCATTTCTATTGATGATTGAGTTGACAGGTGAAAAACGAGTTAATAAACGACACGTTGTAATTCGGGGTGAACGCATAACTGGAAGGGGTGATGACGGCTGATGCACGATGATACGTTGGGGTTTTGTCGTAACGATGTTTGGTGATAATTTTCGTTGTTGATTTGGTGAATGTAGAACAGCTGTCACAAATACAGTTTGATGATGAGCAATAAGAGGCCCCACACGCAGCTCGTTGCGCCAATAAACAGGGGCACTTTGTAGTCTAGAAATCAGAATTGCATACCGTGCCGGCACATCGGGTTACTTATGCTGGATCAAGGATAACAACCCCAATTTTTGCTGTATTAAGACCATTTCGTTAGCCTGATTATTCTCCAAATAAAATTGATTGACTTTATTCGTCAATCGTCATTCAAATAATCACCAAAATGAATTTATTCACTTCCCCTATATCGCCTGTACTTCAATTCCAATTTCTGTTTATTTCATTATTTTTTTCCACTGTATTATTCATCATTGACACAGCAAGAAAAAATCCATCGTTGGTTTAACGTAGAATTGTCAATTAATCAGATTCTAATTTATTCAGATCTTTCGACATTTGGGAGGTTTTTCTACGACTACGGCATGCACCAAGACTACTCCAAACGATTCGTACAGTGTCAGTGATTTTTCAGTTTTTTTTTTCCTAACAAAAGTACTTTGTTGCAGACTTGCATGCAATAGAGTAGACGAGTAAGCTCATTGGATTAACTTAATATTTAATTGTTTATTTGGTATGGTATTTGGGGGCTCGTAACTACCGTCCAAAAAGCCAGCGTGAAAATTCGTAATGCTTCCAAATAACATATCCAGCGTGTACCGCTGCTGTTTGCGTGACAATAACAAATATCAAATTGTGGTAGATGGGTTTTTTATCAACCCTCGAGGTGTGCAGGACGTTAAGTCTATTGTCATTGTACTTACAACCATCGCTCGAATCAATACGTGATTGCAATTCCTTGATTTGTATTTCTTTTCTCTTCATCTCGTGGGACATTGAATCCAATCGCTGCCTGAAGTCACGTAATTCCCTGGAGAAAATCCAAAAAAAAATTTAATTAGTCATCAAATGGCCACTGCCTTACGGAATCGGGCAATAATTAAATGAAATAATAATCTCCGAAAAAATACGTACTTTTGAGCAGCAATAAGATCAGATCTCGTCTTGGTGAGTTCCTCAGAAATGGCCTGTTTCGCCTGAATCTCGCTCTGCAACGAGCTCTGCAGATTCAGCAGCTCCATTTTATCGAGCTTCTGAGACCTCCTGTTTCTCCAGTTCTTATCAGACATGGTGGAGGTACTGCCAACGCCTCCAACGCCCCCAGAGTGTTTCAAAAATTCAAGTTCCTCCGTCATTTTCGTAGCGAGGGCCTGAAGATATCCTCTGGCGTCTTTCTCATCAGACACCCACTGAATAATCTCAGTGATCTGTGCCTCCCACTGAGCAATCGCCTCCTTCTTATTCCTGAGCTCCTCGTACTCCTCCTCCAGCTGTCTCCTCTCACTGGAAATTCTATTGACACTATCAGTAACCGATGATAACTCCAGAAGAAGCTTCTTGTTCTCCTCAGTGAGCATAATTTTCTCCCTCTCGTGCCTTCTACTCAATTCACTGATAGTCTCTTCACTGTCTGTGATATTCTCCAGTCTTGCAGCATCTAGCTTGTCCTTGGTCACTTGAATCTCCCTCTCTAGGAGCTCCCTGTGTCCCTCAGCCTCGTGGAGCTGCTCCTGGAGACTTCTCATCTCGACATTGTGCCTCCCCTGTTGCTGATTGAGATTCTCATTGTACTGTACCTCAAGTTTTTCCACCTCAGCCTTCAGCCTGTTTATCTCCTGAGTGGCTAAAGCATCGTTGGCCCTTGCATCATTACCCACAGACCTCTGCCTGATCTTTTCAGTCTCCTCCTGCATCTGCTTGCAGTACTCCTCACTCCTCTCCCTGAGTTTTCTCTCCTTACTTGTCTCAGCCATAGCCTCCTCCACCCTATTCTCCAATTCTCTTCTTAATTTCTCTGCCTTCCTGATGTCGTGCCTCAAACTGTCAACCTTGGCCATCACAACCTCGAGCTCCTCCTCCTTGTCACGAACCTGACGTGACAGCTTCTGCTTGTGCTGGCGCAATTCTGACAGCTTGTCGGTCACCTCAGTGTACTCAGCCATCGCCAGCTTCCTCTGGGTCAGGGCGTCCTTCAGCTCTTTGTCCTGGAGCTTCAACTTCTCCAGGGCATCGAGCTTTTCCTTCACAGCCTCCTCCTTCTCACCCTTGAGAAGTCTCACTAATTTCTCGAGATCGTGAATTTTCGAAAGATCTCCATTATCAATATTACGAATTTCGCGAGTTGTCGATGTCTCCAGTGACTTCAGCTGTGCCTCCAGCTCTCCATTACGTTTTGTCAGGGTGTTTATTTCATCCTGGAGCTTTCTGATGGCATTTGAAGATTCCGGGGAGACCGTTGTTGGAGACGTGGTAGTATTGTTCGAGGAGATCTGATTCTTCAGGTCTGATATCGTCTGCTGGAGTCTGGCGTTCTCCTGCTCGAGATTTTCTATGTTCCTATCCTTCTGGGACTGCGTCAGGACTGGCAGGGAACCCAAGTCAGAGATACAACTGCCCTGAGTAAAACTGAAACCCACGAAGGGTAGGTGGAGTGCTGAGAAGGCGGAATTCGCTGCTGGAGGAACAGCGTCTGAACTTCTCACGTCTGTGTCGTCAACGTCGAAGTTCGATGTGTCCGTTGGAGACGAAACTTCGGGAATGTAAGGCGCTGTGCTGTCCCTCAGGGTGTCCCAGTTGACTCCCTCGAACCACGGATGTTTCTTGAAATCATCAATGCCGTTTTGACCCAGACGAAATTCCGAACTGCAGATCAATTTTCTCATCAGGTCTTTGGCCTCGTCTGACACGTCGTACGCCTCGTCTGTGGGGAAGTCGAAACAATTTTTGTGATTCATTATTCGACCGTAAGTTTCGACTAGAGATTCAGCGTAGAACGGGGTCTCTCCGTAGAGCATTTCGTACATGCACACTCCGAGGGACCACCAGTCGCATTCTGGACCGTAACGACCTTGACCATCCTCCATTGCCTGGAATTAAATCGATCATTGTTATTTTCATCGAGAATCACGAATCGACAATCACGGAAACCACGAAAGAATAATGACGAAGTTAAATATTTTGATTTTCACTGGATGATGGGTTTCTGTGGAATTGATGCAGGAAACAGTATTAATTCAATATTGAGAGAGACTGGGGGAGTGGGTAATTAAAACGTCAATTGAGAAGATGAAATTGGATGGAAAGGGATTAATTGGAAAAAGGCTGGAGATTCAAATAAAATTGAATGCCTCACCCTCAAAATTTCTGGAGATATGTAGTCGGGTGTTCCAACGGCGACATTACTCTGGACAGTTCCGTCCTCGAAGAGCCGCAGGCACGATCCGAAATCGGCGAGTCGTATGTGTCCATTGGCATCGAGCAAAACGTTATCTGGCTTGATATCCCGATGCACATACCGGAGATTGTGAATGGATGCAATGGCTAGAACCATTTCGGCGATGTAAAAACGTGCCATGTCCTCTGGCAATCGATCCTCAAATTTACTCAACAGAGTCAGCAGATCTCCACCGCAGTAATAATCCATAACCAGATACAGATTATTGTCGTCTTGAAATGCATAATGGAGATTTGTTATCCATCTACGATCACCGTAGACTAGAACATCTCTCTCTTCTCTGAAGCAAGCGGTTTCCGCTCGCTTCAGCATCTCCCATTTGTTGAGAATTTTCATGGCAAATACTTTGTCGGACCCTCGCATTTTTACAACACACACTTCACCAAATGCCCCTCGACCAATCACTTTGACTATTTCAAAATCCTCACGTGCTAGTTGCAGACTTTTTATGCAGCTTGCCACTGGTTTCACTGGAATTTAAATAAACTTTTGAGTTTATAGGAATAATGGCATTGACTCATTCCGTTCATTCAATAATAATCGTATTTGCTGGTATTTACTCCGGTGTTAATACTCATATCACCCTGAAAAATATCTTCGAGAGCTTTCAATCTTTAAATAACCTCCAGACTCACCGAATTCAATGAAATCAGAGACGGTTTTTTCACGTCGCAGCGAGGAATTGCAACACTCGTCATACAGAATTAATAAAATATCGATCAGCGTTTCAATCGAAAATGTATGCCCCACGCGTCCACCCCGTACTGGACCACTGGTAAATAAATTCTCGAGCTGTCGTAATCTCCCACTCACCCCTGAAATTAATTGTACATTTTTATTAGAAAGTATAAAATATAAAAACAATAAAAATTATGTGTTACATACCCCGGGACACGAGGTCCATTGGGGCAGTGTATGAATTGTTCGATGGGTTTGACATAATTGCAGTCTGATTCGGCGATCCTTCACCAGGATCCTTTGGCGATAATTCCAACATTATTGTCCCGGCTGATTACAACCACGGTAATTATCAGCCTCATAACTGAACAATATAAAACCTGAAATTCGTATAATTCATCACACCTCGATCCCTAAAAAACCTCAAATTTCAAAGTTCGAATGCATAATATGCAAAATACGAGCCCCAACGAGCAGTAATTATCTATTAAACGAATTTCCATTACAAAGCTCATTGAAATCATAATAGACTCTAATTATCATTTAAAAAAAGAGCTCATCAATCTAATTAAAATTTCTGCAAAACGTTTCGTCTCGAAATAAACTCATGTCATCAGTATTCGCCTCATTCCCCTTTCACGCCTTTAAACGCTGAAAAAAAAATCGCGTAAATTTCCACAAACGTCTGAAAAAATTCCGCAAATTCACCCGAAAAATTCCCCTTCCACAGATATAAACAGAAAACATCCGACGGACGTCACGAACCGTCAGGAAAGACCAAAAATATGTCAACGGATTGTGAAAATTTTCGATACAAAAAAACGTGGAAAATATCTAAAAAAAAAAATTCATTGAATGAGAAATACCTCCCATAAACATTACGTAACCCCAGTATCACCCGTTCCCATTTACCCCAATAATCCCCAAAGAAATATGTAACAATTTAATCTCCCGTGGGACAACCGATGAATTATCATCCGACATGAATAATAATTGCGATGAAACAAACCTCTGGGCTCAACTACAAAAATAGTGCAATGGTGACTGGTATGACAATCGTGTACAACTTTTTCAATCCAACTCCTCAATCTCTGCACTCCTAATGCGAATAAACTTCCCACGAAATGCAACTGATTGATACTAAAAAATCACAGAGCACAGAGACAAAATAACAAAAACCATTCGATCACGTCACAAACGTTCCGAACAATGAAATGAAATAAAACCACAAAAAGAAAAAAAAACACCGAGAATTTGTGAAATTAAAAAAAAAATATATATGTATTCTATTATGGGTGTATCTATTTGCGGGTTAACCTTATCTCAATCCACTGCTTTGAACTTTATTTATTCCCATTTCGATGCGTCTCGCGTTTCGCGAATTTTAATGCACGATTCGTTTAAAATATATAATCGTTGTTTTTTTTCCTTTCCTAGCGTAATTTATGATTTTTTTTGTTCACTCATGAGCGCAGGAGTATTAACATTAGAACTTTGAAATAATTGAGCACTTTGTTGGTGATTATTTGGTGGAGGTGATGGTGGGTTTGGGGATTGTGGAGATCACGTACTCGTTAAATGTTTATAAATCGCACCAGTTAATTATCACAAAACATTGTATTGCCACCTCCAAGCCCCTAGCAATTTGGCTGACCCCCTGGCAGGCCCCATACAGATGTCTATGTGTGGGTGAAAAAATATGGAGGAGCTACGTCATGAGGTGGATCGGACAGGATGGACCTGGGTGGAGACCTGGAGGAGTTATCGAGAACCTGAGACCCTCAGTACCGGCGCCACTTCAGAGATGGGGCCGTCATCCTTCCATAAAAAAAGAAGTAAAAAATCACACAAATTACAAAATAGAAAATAAAAATTATGTATCAATTTTCTGACCATCCCTTGCTTTTTATCTCCTGACTGAAGCAACAATTACAGCAATTTGTTTAATTTTTATATGATTATTCACTTTTTAGACTTCTTCATATTTTTTTTTACGCAGTGATATTCCCTGGAATGATAACGTGGAATAATGATAATGGATTGAAATTCCTGACAAGTTCGTGAGATTGAAAGATTTTTTTTTTCGATCAGCTGTTCAATGTTTATCAGATGTTTCCACGTTTCGGGACACAAACACCTCTTGTCACTTCTCATGTGATGATTTAAATAATAATTGTTTTCTAGAAAGAACTGAGAATTTTTATTGCAATAATACAGGAATTAAAAATTTATTAAATTCGATTTTTTGAGGAATATGAAAAAAATATCGAATGTTGCATAATGACCTTCTTCGTAGAAAAAATCGAGAGCTACAAAAAAGATTCCATCCAAATTTTATAATTTTTCTTCGCTTCAGAGATAAATCGATTCGTTCGTCTCTAGATCTTCGTTAATAAATGATAAAAATATTGTTTCACCACAAGTTTTCAAATTTTCCAGATGAAAATTTCGGGGAAATCACGATATTTTCTTTATTGCCGACCCGTAAACGTCGAAGTGAAGGGAAGAGATAGGACAGATGAGGATGGGCTCTCGTCCATTGTATAAACCAAGTTTCATGGAGCAAAACGTCAGTATTGTTTTACCTCGATTCGCGATGCTATGCAGCAGGAACTCATTCCTGAATGAAATTTCATAAGTGACCAATCAGTAGCTAATAATAAAAATTATCCAGAAAAAAGTTGAGACTTCTGTGAGAGCATCAGCTGTGATGAGTCCAGTGTTTTGACGTGTTGTATAATCTCTCCTGCATTGATAAAAGCATGACGTTATGAGTGATTACCGAATAATTAACAACAAAAAGAGATGAGATGTATCGTGTCTTTATCACTGGCTACCGCCTGGCGGAAGTGACCCATGGAAAATCATTCTACGTTTACACTGTTCAAGTGACAGATTCCAACAGTGGGATTAAACATTCCATCGAGAGAAGATATTCTGAGTTTAATTCACTCCGCAGAATGGTGAGTAATAAATTCTGAATTAATTGTGTGAAGAAATCCTGTGCATTTCAAAACTTCTCCATTTATTATTAAATATTTCCGCATTGGGTTCGACCAGTTGTTATGATGTCTGGATATTTTTTGTTTTTACTTTCTCCTTATTATTAATCAACAGTCATTAACAGGCAGGAAATTTCACTTTTCCTGGTGAATTGAGAAAAAAAATATTTGATAATTTACTGGGTGTTTCTGGAACGTGTCGAAGTCTCTTGATTTTTTAATGAGTCGTTAGCCATTTTCTTGGCTGTTAAAGCAAAACTGAAAAACTGCAAAATGAAAAGTTGAATAGAATTTAATTGAATGTGCAAATTATTTTTAACAGCTGTCATTTCAGTTGAAGAGGGGCGGCGAGACTGCAGCATTTCCACCGAAAAGAGTGAGAAATTGTCAGCCAAAAGTATTAGAACAAAGAAGAGCTGCACTCGAGGTTTACATTCAAAAAATGCTGCATCTACCCAGTACTAGACAGCAGGTCCTCGAGTTCCTAGGAATCGAGGGAACAAAAAGCAATAGAATAAATTTCAAAAGGTATTTAACCATTTCTCACATCATGCGACACCTTAAAAATTTTATTCGGTACAGGAAAAAATTATCTCGAAAAATTCGAGTGCAACATTGAACCGAGAAAAAAATTCAGTCGATTCAACAAAATATTTTCCCGTCGATGCCTGAATTTTTATTGAGAATCTTCGCCTGTGGATTCTGTTTACTGTTTTTGTAATTTCATTAATGAATTTTTATTAGTAGATTTGATGGGAAATCCAATTCTGCCACAACCGCCGCCCATGTGCCCACAATGGGTCATCGTCCTGTGATAACATTCAAATGCGATCCATTTGTAACAGCTGAATCACAACCTGGTCTTCCCGACATCGTGACTCAGGGTGTTCTACTAGGCTTTTATAAATCTGAGAATTACTAGCTGCACTAATTAATTTTATTCGATATTTTTAAATTGTCTGTGATGACTTTTAATGAAGAGACCATGTTTTTTTTCTATGTTGGGACAAATAAATAAATTTTTTAAACCACTCCCTGTCCTTTATTACCATTAATGTCTACTTATCGTACAGGCAATTAATCTTTTAATAAAAATTGTAACACTCGCCGTGAATCAAATAAAAATGCTTCACCAAAATTTTTTTCTTCTTTCAAATCGAATTTCTTTAACCATCTAATCACTTCTATATAAAAACAATTTGTTAATGTTAATTAAAATATCGTTTACTAATCAATTTTTTCATTTTTTGTATTAAAAAAAAATCAATCTTTCATGATAATTGAATAAAATTTTTAAATACTTGAATGATCATTCGATAAAAAACATATTCGGCAAAAGATTTTTTTCTCAGTATAAGATTAAAAAATTTCATGAAAAAAATTGAATTCCTTTTTTTCGTCAAAGCTTTTCAGTATCGGTAGTGAATAAAACAGTGATTTGACAGACGAGGGGTACATTTCCCCTTCTCCACGTAAAATTGGCAGGCCGTCCACCCGAGTCAGTTAGCAACGAAGAAGGGCTCGGTGAGGATCGGAAAGGATCGAGGAAAAACGGAGAAGATCGGCTTGGCAAAATCCCCAACCGCCAAGCTTTTTTATTCCAGTACTGAATCTAGTACTGGCGTCCCTTCATTCGCTCTTTGTAATTTCTATATGTGCCAATTTTATATCCAGAGATGTGACGCACCGTGGGAAAACTCCATCTCATGCCTGTTGTTTTGAGTCTTCTAATTCTCCATTATCCTGAACAAGGGATTGCACAATGTTCTTCCTACCCCCGTGTCTGATTGTTCTACTGCTGGGTGAGTACATCTTCGTCATAATTGTTTTTTTATTTTGCTATTGAAATTGGTCCGCACGTCTCCATTTATCGATTGGAATCTCAGGTGACGGCTCACAAGGTTTCGATTCTCTTCCCGGCGGTCATATTTCCGCCGACGAAGGGGTGAATCACTCCGGTTCACCTCGACATTTGTTTCGGAGTCATTTACCCCGGTGTAATATTTTTTTTATCAACCGACATTAAATCATCATCGAATCATTCAATTCTGTAGTGAAAATATTGAAGTAGGCAATTGCGGTGAGTTGTTTCGAAATATCCCCGAAATTAATGAAGATAGAAAATTTTTGTGAGGACATTTTTTGCGAAGATAATTGAGAGCTACAAAAAAGGTGATTACATGAATTCCGATATCTCTCTCAGTTTCGGAGATATCCCTGAAAAACTCACCGACGAGTGACGTCAACTCATCTCGGCTTCCCACATCGCGACTGAATTAATCCCCAAAACTATTGATTTTAGGTAGAAATATGAAAAGACCTTTATTATAAAAAATTTAATTACCTGCAAAAAAGTCCTCTTCAGCTTCCCCCTAAAACCCATGGATTTCGCGATAAATCGATAATCAAGAAAAATGTTAAGATCGAGTTACAAGAATTTTCTCATCTAAAATTCCCTTTGCCGTTCGGAAATATTTTTTATTCCTCAGCGAAAACGCCGACAGTTTTCCACGAAAAAGCCCTCATTAGGGGATAATTCCGTACTTCCGAGTACATCCTAACATCGGATTATTCCGCTTCACCTTTTCCTCGGTGATCCTCACCATAAAACCTTTCGAGACGTCTCCCTGGATTAGAAACCCGATATTAGTCCAGGCATTGACCCTGGTACATCATTTATTCATAATAAATCCTCTGACGAAATAAAAATGCCCATCTCATAAAGAAAGCAGAAAAAAATTAGCAAAGAATGGGTGAAGGGGAGGCGGGGGGGTGAGAACTCATGGTCATGGCAAACGTCATTGGGCAATCCTTTATTTTCCCATTGCAGTCTTCTTTTTAGTTTCCCTTGGCGTTTTTTTCACGCACATGGGCCCCAAGTACTACTAAAGCTTCTTTGTTCCAACCGTTTCGTTTCCAGTTTTTTTCTCTCCCTCGGCATTAGGTATACAAATACGTTATTCAGTAACTTGGGCTGGAATGAAGGGCAGAAAACCGAGAGGAATGAATTCAGATCGACAAGAGGTTTTTTTCTTTTTTGAGTCTCGTGATGCCAACGTATTTGTTGATTAAATTTTTTACAGGCTTGATAAGGAAAAAATACATGAGGGAGAGCTAGACTACCGACGATATGGGGCTTTATCAGGGGATGCGCGATTTCCGGCTCGAGAAGACGAGTCTTTAAATTCCGATAACACTAAGCTAATCAGTTATTTGTGTGATTGCAAGGGTAGTCGAATCGGGTAATTGATGTACATTTGGGAGGAGAAAAATTCATTTTAGAAAATCTTTGTCACTGAATTTTCCGTGGAAATTTTTGAAAAAAAAAGAAATGGGTATAGGATATTTTAAAAAATTGGTGTGATTTTAGGAAAGCTTGGTGCAAGTCAGGAGGATGGTCTATCCTTCACGGTGAGTCCTGCAGATCATTCCGTGATCGAGGGATCACCGGTGCGTCTGCGATGTGAGACAGAACCCAGACTTGGTGTCAAGTATTCATGGAAACTCGAGGGCCAGACCCTGGCACCCAGTCCTCGCAGGCATCAAGTTGACAGTGATCTCTACATAACTCGTGTCAACAGAATTTTTGACAGTGGAAATTTCGTATGTGTCGCCTACCACGAGCCCAGTGGCAACACCATCGAGAGTTCACCAGCTAAAATTGACGTTCAATGTGAGTTTTCGACAACAACAATTAACTCCCCAATTTTCTCCATAAAAATTCAAGGAATTCGTCATTTCCATATTTATCTCCAAAGACAGTATGTGTAAAAAAAAAAAGCGTTATCCTGCAATCCGCGATATCATTTAAACCCGCCCTAGTCCACCCCTTCACCCGGGAATTATTCCTGACCAGTTCCTGAAATTTCATTATCCAAATAGTCTCGTTTTCATTTCACATATGAAAACGAGAGAAAACTGATAGACAAATGGCTGTTCGCTTTCAGTATCTCCCCACTAACGAAATATAGAATCAGATGTACATCTGGCGGTTGGGGCTTGAGGAAGGCCATAAAACTTTATGGTGTATTCGCATCGACCGTCACCCTCTTTCCACCCTTATCCCAACAATCTCCCTCTCTCTCCCTCTCTCTGTCTTCGCATCTATCCATCCCTTTTTTTTTTCAACTCTCCACACCACTCTGGAAGGGTTTCCATAGCAACGAGAGCAATTCCCCTACCTCCAAGTGTTCCAAGCAACCCTGGCATATCTTGGTGTTTTTTTGCCCCCCCTCCTGGAACTGATCCCCCTCATTGACGGGGAGAATGGCAGTCAGGAGTTGTATAATGATACAAAAAAATAAGTGGAAACTCCTTTTTTTCACCTGGTTTTTTCCTTTTTTTTACGTTTATTTGCATGCTTGACACTGGCTACACCAGCCATGGAGATATACATATATGAGGATATCCGCATAAAAATCACTGTTGCGAAAAGCTCAACCCCCGTCTTCGTCCTTGAGTAATCGCGAGACAATTTCGAGGAGTTGGAATGAGAGGTGGAGGGCGGAAAGGGAAGGAAAAGGGTGGGAAAGGGTGGAACGGGAGAATAACATCCGGGTGAATTATTCTCGAATTAATAACACTTTCGATTAGCTGGAATCGGTTTAAAAATTACCCCGGGGTAGGGAATTTTAAGAAAGAGAATACCCTTCAGCGGATGGTAACAATAAACATTGGGTGCATGTTGGGGAATGATAAAAATAAATCCTCCAGCCGGCTTTCCTGTACCTCTCCTCGTTTCTTTGATCTCTCGGTTCATTTATATATCTGAAATACGGATTTTCCGAATAGCCGGGACAAGAGTTCAAGGAGTGGAAATGAAAAATCCGGTGTTGTTTGAGTCTTCATGGAGATGAGTGTGATAATAAAACGATACCACCGGTTCTTACCCAAATATTCATTCCGTTATTAAAACGATGAGTAAAAAATACTGATTACTAAATAAAAATTCATGGACAGTTGAAAGTTTTGAATAAACGAGGATTTCAGGAAAATTCTCGGAAATTGTATTGAACGCGTGAAATTTTCGGGAAAAATCTGTTAGTGGAATGATTTGCAGGAAATGTTTTTAATATTTTTAATTTTTTTAATATTTTGGTCTTCATGGTACTTGGAATTTTTTTTTCATATTAATCGAAACAGCAAAAAAAAATAAAACGGAATAAATCATTTTAGTCCCCGCCAGCACTTCACAAATAAATTATTACACTCAATGCCTCATAAAAAATGCCATTGAAATGTATTCGATGAAGCATCCAGTTTGTATAATGATCGAATGCATTCAAAATTCGAGTGATTGGGAAAAAGGAATCGAATATTCAAAGACAAATCGAATATTCAGACGTCAACACATCCCTCCTAAATATTTATGCGAATAATTTCCCCGTTTGCAGTTATTCCAGCCATTGAAAAATCTATTCTTCATTTTCAGGGATAAGCGAATCAAGGGTTGTCCTGGAATCACCGAAATTTCCCTCATTAGTCCGACTGGGTGGTGAAATAGAATTACGATGTCACGTCGATGGCTCCGGCGAGATGAAATACGAGTGGTACAAGTGAGTACCGAAATTTCAAAACATAATCATTAATTACATCAATGCACTGGATAAAAATAATTGATCATTAAATATAACAACCCATTCCAGAAATACCCATGCATTGGTAATGACTGATGGAAGAATCGAGATGAAGAAGAAGCGAAAATTATCAATTCACAATGCAAATTCCCAAGACAGCGGTGTATACACGTGCAAAGCGAAGAACGAAGCTGGTTATTCGTTAATTAAGGAGAGTTTTCCCCTGGTGATAGCTTCGAACGAGACAGCGACAATCAAGGTTGTCCCCCAGAATCTGATAGTGAAACGAGGTGAATCAACATCGTTTCACTGCATGTACGAGGATGCAGACAGGATCGAGTGGTTTTTCAATGACAACGGGCCTCTTATCGACGATGAGGAACGATTGATATTCGACAATGGGACATTGTTGTTACGAGTTGTCGAGCAAAGAGACCAGGGGATCTACGCTTGTCACGGTGTGAGAGACGAAACCAGACAGATTTACACAGCAGAATTGTACATTGCTTTTATTCAGAACTTGACAGACGCGAGTTTCGAGCCAACCCTGGCAAATCAGCAGGCAATAGTGGGAAAAGAACAGGAGCTGCAGGTGAGTTGTCTGGAGCCCCGTGGCCTGCCGACCCCCAGGATCTTCTGGCGAGACCCCCGAGGGCACATCATCAGTGACTCAGGCCCAGTCCGTACTCAGGACAACACCCTCATAATTGCCAAAGCCCGAACCCCCGAGGACATTGGAAATTACACCTGTGTGGCTGAGAATCTGGCTGGAACAACTGAAATAATCGTCCAGGTGATTGTATCTACGCCTTCAGCATTGCTGACCTCTCCAGAGCCTCAATCAGTCATGGAGAGTGACTCAGTGACACTCTCATGCTCGTACGCTGGGCTGGATCCACCAGTGACCACAGCCCAGTGGTTGAAGGACTCAGAACCCCTGAAGGAAACTGGTGGACCAACCAGATACAGAATGACTAATCATCATGGCAATGTGACTCTTCACTTTAAATCCATTTCCCTTTCTGACAGAGGTACCTATGCCTGCGAAATCCTGACTAAAGGATTTTCAAGCATTCGATCTCAGCCAGCAGCTGTCAGTGTCCGTGAGAAACTGAAATTCTCACCTCCACCGGTCGATAAAAAACTCGAATTGAATTCCACAGCTAAAGTCTACTGCAAAGCCCAGGGGGCAACCAATCCCACTGTTAGATGGGTCAAGTCAGGGGCAGGTGATAAATTACCAGAGCACATTCAGGATATTAATGGAACACTTCACTTTAATGGAGTCGTCGAGAGTGATAAAGGGCAGTACATCTGCATGGCAACGAATGCCCAGGGTTCGATAAACCATACGATTGATATAGAAGTTGTGACAGCTCCACAGTTCAAAAAAACTCCTCAGGATCCAACTTACGTGTTGGAGGGGACACCTGTGCTGCTGGAATGCACAGCAAAGGGAAAGCCAACGCCTCAGATCCACTGGGATAAGAATTCCAAGCTTGGAAATCTTGGAGAACGATCACAAGTACTGAGTAATGGCTCCTTGTACATCCGAGAGGCTTTCATGACTGATGCAGGACAGTACGGTTGCACAGCTGGTAACAGTGGGGGCTTGAAGAGAATTGAGGTGCAGCTGATTGTAAAACCCAGGGACGACTCGAGGTATGATATGGATGTGGAGAACTACGATGGCTCCATGATGACGAAGACCGTGACCATCACTCTCAGTGTCGCTGCTGCTTACATGGTGCTTGTCATTGGTCTCATGCTGTACTGCAGGTACAGAAGGCGCAGAAGAAAGCAGCAGTATCTTCAGGAACAGGCTGATGATAAATTGGAGAATGGTGACGTGCACGAGGAGCAGACTGAGCTCAAAGATATGAATCACAAGGTGTCAAACTGCAAGAAAAAAGACAACCGGGACTCACATAGGAGTGATGGCGCAGAGACAGCTCAAAGTCAGAGTAGCAATCACTCGAGAAAATCCAAGAGCAGTTACGACAAACTGGCGATATCACGAGAAAATCTGGGGGAGTTGAAGCCACTGGGTCGAGGTGAATTCGGTGAGGTCTTCTCCACGAGGTATCAAGTGGACTCTGAGAAGGAGCAGATTGTCTTGGTGAAGAGCCTCTTGAATACCAAGGATGAGACAGTTCTTCAGGAATTCAAGAGACATTTGGATTTGTTTCACAAATTGAATCATGAGAATGTGGCTAAATTGATTGGACTGTGCAGAGAGGGAGAGCCAGATTACATGATATTAGAGTACACGGATTGGGGTGAATTGAAGCAGTTCTTGGTGGCTTCCAGGAAGGATGAGGCAAATATTGTCCAGGAGGCAAAGGCTCGTGCCCCACAGCTGTCTGTTGCCCAGATATTGGCACTGGCTAGCCAAGCAGCTAATGGATTGAAACATTTGGCTGACAGCCGATTAGTGCACAAGGATATTGCTGCGAGAAATTGCCTCATTGCCAGCAATCTCAGCCTCAAGATATCGATGACTTGCATGTCCAAGGAACCTTATCAGCAGGAGTACACGAAACATAATAATCATGTAATTCCTCTCAGGTGGCTGCCCTACGAGGCTGTCTACGAGGACGAATACTCGACAAAGAGTGATGTCTATTCGTTCTCCTGTCTCGTTTGGGAGATATTCCATCAGGGAGAGTTGCCCTTCAACAAACTCAACGATGAAACGGTTTTCACTCAGTTGAAAGCAGGATCTCTAGAGTGGAAAGCCCATAAAGCAGCACCTCCTGCTCTTCAGGAGCTCCAGGAGAAATGCTGGTCCAAGGATCCCAGGGAGAGACCCACTTTCGATGACGTTGTATTAAAGATAGGTGAAATTGTGGTTGATAGCTGTCTGTAAGTTCCAAGGGTTACGATTAATTTTAGAATAAGATATGGCCTCAAAGGTCCCAACGGCTAATTGACACTGCCTCTGTCCAATCCAATAACTATAACGATAGTATCGTAAGAAGGTTTTATAAGGAGATTATTCTACATTATTTGATATGAAAATGAAATCCGATGGCCTCGAGTTTTTAATCTACTGTTTTATGTTCTCCAATTTTTATCATTATTTATGTAGCGGTATTTAATCGAGTTCGTGAAATATTTAGATGCGTGTAGCTGCGATTTTTAAGGCATACTGTAGTTGATGGTAATTCCATAACGAAGTGGTTGCTAAAAATCGATTTGTTTGAGAAAGCTATGGACTTCAAAATAATTATTCCATATTCTCTCATTGAATTAATAAATCTTCGGATAAATCGATGTTTAGTACTCGACTTTCTCATTTTACCACTTCGATAATGAAGTCATTTTCGTAATGGTAGGGTTTTCAAACAATAAGATGATAGAATTATCACGATCATATCACGGTGACAACAATACTTTGGATTTTTTTTCAACAAACAGTATCTGAATAAATTACTCGTACATCTGGAAATAGAAAGACAAGAGTGATCTCTCGTTGAGGGAGATAAGGCGATAATGTTTAGGAGATAAAACGTGTTATTGTATATACTGGTGGAAAAAAAATAACTATTTTGACTTTGCTGGGATAGAAAATTACGTAATTGATGTAGTCAGGTTGAGCTTGTGTGGAAATATTTGTCAGTTTTCTTCCTGAGTCTTCGTATAAAGAGGCAGAGAGTGCTGAGTATTAGATCTGTTTTAATTACAACTGATGATTCAAATTTAATAACAAAGAGGTGAAAAATAAATCGATACGAGATAGCGAAATTTTTCTCGGAACCTTTTTTGCAAAGTGGAAAATCTTCAAAAAAAATTCTCACAAAAATTTCGAGATCGAATCGAAATTTTAAATTTCGCCTTTTCGAAATAATGAATTCAGCAGATTTATTTTAATGAATAGAAAAACCACATAAAGTGGTGACTGCGATATTTCAGAAAGCTTTTGATACATTCATTTCCACTTTTTCACATTTATATGTCCACAAGAGTAAAAAATACTCAGTAAAATAATATTTGGCGAAATGTACACGAGAATTTCAATGACGAAGAAGTGAAATTTGATTTCAGTCTTCCCAAAATGTTTGAAGATCGATTGCTCATACCGCGTCACGAAACATCAGAATAATCTACCTCTGAAGTTAAAAGCGCAGTGAAAAAACAACATTACTGGATTTATCGATAAGGTTTTAAACTTTTTCCACAACGAATATGTAATAGAGACCCCATGACGTTCTGACACCGTCAACCATGATTTTATAATTATAGTGTGTAGAATTAATATTAATCGCCAGACAGAACTGCTACTGATCACCATAAAAAAAAGGGAGAGAATGAAACGATAGAAATGCTATTCGAATAATTCAATTTCATGTTGTGCCCGTCATAGACCTCTCCAGCTCAATTAATTCGATCATTCATTCATTCATGCCGATATCTAGTCATGTGTACTTGGCGATGAACTTAAGGATAATCCTAAAGTGTATGAAAAATCGACTAATAGTCTTTGGAAAACATATTCTCAAACCGACTGAGTTCCAATTCCAACGAGTTTTTTGAGATTTTTTCCCTGCAAGCAGTATTTTGTAAATATTTGTACTTTTTTACACCTTTTTTTTTTATTCAAGGTAACGAGTAGCATAATACTTGGAGTGAAGCTGAATAAATGTATCGAGAACTATGAAAATATTCATTGTCTTATCTATTCCCTTCATACCGAATTAAAAAATCAATTTTATTTATATTAATTGGAGGAAAATGACCAAGATATATTTGCAATTCTTATGAATAAAATAATCCATAATTATAATTGGTATTGTCATTGCAATTTTTTTTTTAATTTCCAATATTCAAATTTGAAATGAAAAAAAAAATGTGTTTTTGACCGATGCTTGCCGATAAATGCCGAAGCTCTGCAGTACCAACAGCGTCCCTGTCAACGAAACCACGTGGCCATGACATGATGCGCGCGTTTCCCGATGTCTTCCCTCCCTCAAACAGTATCAAACATCTCTCGATATCCAACTCAAATCGACTGAAATCAGTATCTGGTGGACAGCGACCAGCGCATCGTCTCTGGTGTACCATCAGAGCTCACAACATTAACAAGTGTAATTATTAATTAAATCTAAAACCCCAGGTTCACCAGCCCCCAAGTGCTCCCCCATCATCTGCACTCTCTTCTCCCTGGACTTTCTCCTTGTTATTGAAAATTATCATGTGCTCCTGGCATGATTACCTGACGTGATAATGCAAGTTCATTACGTTCGTTCACCTCGTCTACTTTTTTTTTTCATTCACCATTCGTTCAAAGTCTGCCTTCAATTTTCAATAGATTTATCATGATTTTCAATGTGTGCAATGAATATTCAATTCCTCGGTCTTTACTTCTTCATCGATTTTTAAACCTTATTTTATTGCTGCCCATTCGTAAATATCAATTATTCCGTTTTAATTTGTACTCATTTCATTCAATTATCGTATTATTTATTTCAATTCACCTCGCCCACTCTCAAATAATTTATTAAAAAATGGAATCATTAATGAAAATTGAAATGAATTCATGATGCAGCTGCTAACGATCCAATTGACCGAGTTAATAATTCTATTGATTGTATTGATTTATAGCCAGAGGAGTAGAAAATAGGAAATGGACTCGAAAGACTCGAAAAAACTCGGACGATGGTACTTTGGTGGTGTTGCTTCAGCTGGAGCCGCTTGTGTTACTCATCCATTAGATTTATTAAAGGTATTTTTATTAATGACTTCTCATTCCCAATTAATTCACAAAAAAATAAATTAATCCAGGATTGATTAATCTCAATATCCGATTCCGCCCCATCAAGCTATAAAATTTCAGTCACTTCAATTATTCCCTTTTCTATTTCTATAATCTATATTTAATATATATTTATTATTTAAATCCCATGTTTCCTGTGTTTCATTGACATCGAATGATGTTAATATACATTTGTAACGGAGTAATTCTCATGAAGATAAAAATTTTCACTCACGCGGTTTTCAGTTTTCATAAAAATAGACATGAAAATATGTTCTTTCAAACATTCTTTATATAACCATCAACTATCATTACGTAAGTGGAATTCGGCATTACTGATGGTAGGTCAACGAAAAATATTCAATAGACAAACAAGTTGATATCTGAATTTTTATAGATTAAACAGCGTACAAGGATTTTGAGCTGAACAAAGAGAAGTTGCAATTACTCGATAACTTTTTATGAAACACTATATATTTTTTATTTATTCAGGCAGAAAAAATCGTGATGAATATTTTTTTATGGAAATAGGTAAATTTAAAATTGAGGGCATTGAATTTTTTATTTTTTTCAGGCAGTAATAATTGATTCAATGCCGGCATTTCATTTCAGGTTCAACTGCAAACGCAGCAAGAGGGCAAAGTGTCAATTGTCAAGCACACATTGAAAATTATAAAGAAACAGGGATTTTTAGCACTTTACAATGGCCTCAGTGCTTCCTTACTGCGTCAGGGGACGTATTCCACCACGAGATTTGCAGTTTATGAGGTATTTAAATTTTTATTTCAATATTATATTCATCATCATAATATATTATATTGATATCAGGTGGTGAAACAAGGAATTGAAACCCCTGGGGAGCCTCTGCCATTTTATAAAAAATTACTGATCGCTGGATCAGCCGGGGCTATGGGAGGAGTTTTTGGAACACCTGGGGATCTCATTAACGTCAGAATGCAGAATGATATTAAATTGCCGCCTGATCAAAGGAGAAAGTGAGTGAATTATTCCGAGAAAAAACAGATAAATTTTTGTCGTGATAAAAAATATTTTGGCTTTATTAAAAATCGGAAAATATCGACAGGTCAATTATTTTTGTATTTTATTTCAGTTATAAACATGCGTTGGATGGATTAATAAGGGTGAGCAGGGAGGAGGGGGTGATGAAATTATTTAACGGCTGCTCGACCGCCACTGGTCGAGCCATTCTCATGACTATAGGACAATTGAGCTTCTACGATCAAATTAAACAGCATCTTCTGCAGTCGGGGAAGTTTGAAGATAATCTAGGAACGCATTTTATTGCGAGTCTCTCAGCTGTAAGTTTTGAAATCCTTCTTTTCTCGATTTTTCGATATCAGATTTGAAGTATTTGATTTTTTATTTAGGGTGCCATTGCTACGACTCTCACTCAACCTCTGGATGTTCTTAAAACTCGTGCGATGAATGCAAAACCGGGTGAATTCAAAAATATCGGACAGTTAATTGTGTACACTGCGAAACTCGGGCCCTTGGGCTTTTTCAAGGTAAATTCATCTATTTTTGGGTCAAGGCGAGAATGATCAGACATGAGAAAAATCAATAGAATAAGTTATAATCCCAGAATGATACTTTTTTAGAATTCAATAACGAAGTGAAGTAAAATAAATCGAATTTAACATTTTTCACAAGACAAAACTTTTTTATTCAAAATTTAATCATTTATTAAAAAGTCTTATAAATTTTCTAAATCTGCAATAATGATAATTTTTTTAAATCAATTCAGGGGTACATACCAGCATTCGTCAGACTGGCTCCACACACAATCCTGACGTTCGTATTCCTGGAGCAACTTCGAATAACCTTCGGGTACACCCCGACCGACAAAAAAATTTGAACCCAAGCCCTCGATGATCCAGACTCAATCCACCACGTAAACGATTGCTTCCAGAATCCTCGTGCGTTCGTAAGAATAACGAATCATTCCGTCAATGCAGTTTTTCAAGGTCCAAAAATAAAAATATCCGTAACAAAGCAGTGCATGCGATTCCAGACGTATTTTTTTAAACAAAAGAATAATAATATATGCGGACATATGACTCCTTTTATAAACATTCCACGAGACTATATTTTCTTATCTATATGCTGGCATATATTGCTATTGATATCGATGTACACAAAAATTCCTGAAATTCCCAATGTCCAATGAAACGCACAGAGCGAGGTATTATTTTTTATAATTAAAATAATGATTTTGATAATTCATTATTTGAAATATCATTAAAAAATTCCAGTGTATTGATGAAAATGTTGAGAAAATAAAAATTTATTTATTCCGATGAAAAATAGGGGAGTAAATATTCGGACAGCAGGTTAATGGAGTCAAATCTATATTGTGTAATAGTTAATAGCCATGTGTTATCATATCGCTGGATAATTATTTAAATAAATGGACGTAAAGTATTTTAATGAAACGATTGAATCTATGAAATCCATATTTTTTATATTTCTGTTATGGGCTTCACTACAAAATTTTGGGTAATTCTTTCATTCACTAATTGACTAATCAATATTATTGACAAACTAGTGGATATTATTATCTATGTATAAGGCGTATCAAAACGTGTAATTAAGTTGTATCTAGACGATTATCACAAATTTGCAGGATAAAATGTGATAATTAACTCCAAATTAATATAAAGAAAGATTATGTAATTTTCGTAATGAATTATTATCGTTTATGTACAACACTATATTATGACTCGATTGTGCTTTAATTATTTGAAAATATCGCCGAGACATATGATAGACACTGATTAGAACTTCAGAGAGAACTCTCAATGAACACAAGACTACGAATACGATGTAACCACGATTCTAATAACAAAAATATCGGGCGACAGCGCAAATACTAACGATTAATTATTTTATTCTGTTTTTTCTTTTGCCTCGGATCATTTTTTGTGATGGAGGAAGGTACGTACATGTCAGTGGAAGTTTTGCTATTATTTTCACTCAAAATCTGGCAAGTCTAAAATTTTCTCAACAAATTCCGCGACATTTATGTCCTTCTTCGAGTGTTCTATGATGAAATCTAACTCGAGGAGTTGACTGTAGTTTGGACGGGCTGTGTAGTCTTTCATTAAGCTGGAAAAAAAAGATAATTGTTAAAAAATATCGAATAAGGAGAAAAAAAATATTCATGGAAGCATGAACACAATGCTATCACCCAATTCCATGCATTTTTTTAATTTATAAGGAAGATATGAAAGAATATACATGAAACATATGTTTTACATAATTTTTTGTATGAGTGGGGGATTTTCAAATACATTTTTTTTACACAATTTTTTCTGGGCGAAATTCATTGAGAAAAAAAAATTCAGACATTATTTACGTACCACTTGGTGATGAGATTTTGAAATTCTGGAGAAAACTTTCCAGGGGGTAGCTTTGGGGGGTCATCCTTGACGACTTGTTTCAACTGCTCGAAGGGGGTCCCCCAGGACTCGTAAGGGAATTTTCCAGTCGCCAATTCGACGAGGGAAATTCCCAGAGACCAGACATCTGATCGGATGTCGTACTGAGAGGGATTGCCCGATGGGTCTATTCTCTCTGGCTGAAATTTAAAAGTATTTCACATTAACAAACCAATTTTTTTTGCATTACTCACGTTTTTTTCATGTTTGGAGAATATTTGCTGAATACTTTATAAATTTATATTCGTTCAAGCAGAAAAATATTCGAAATTCCGAATGGAATAATTTTTTTAATCCATTATTTACTCACCGCCATGTAGGGTTTGCATCCTGCATCGATCGTTTTTGCTACCGAATCAACGAGATACCCAGAAATTCCAAAATCACAGATTTTGACTTCCCCCTTTCGATTTATCAAAATGTTGCTAGGCTTAACGTCTCTGTGTATCACCCTCAATTGAGAGTAGAGATAGTGGAGGGCACTAACTACCTAAAAATGCCCCAAATAAAGCAAAACAGTTTGAAAAAATTTCTCAATTTTCGTTGCAAGAATTAATCTGCTGGAGTACTCACTGCAAAAGCTATTTTTCCTAAAATATCCTCAGGTATTGAGCATCCATTCTTATAGGCCTTTGTATAAAATTTATCTAGACTCATATCCATCACCTCCATGCATATCCAGACATCGCCTTCTCGGAACAATGCACCGTAGAATTGCACTGTGTATGGACAATCTGAACTTCTCATGGAGATGTCCAGGTCCATCAGCAGTCTCTTCTGCTCCTGTGTGTTGACTGTAGCCGTGATTCTCTGGGAGAAAACAAACAGGGACTCAATCATATTTCTTTGGAAATTATGTATTTTTTCCAGTCGAGGTCAGAAGATCAAAAAAAAATTTCTATCTCACCCCTCAAAAGAATTTTCAAGTATTCTCGTACCTTTACAGCCATTATTGTGCCACTCTGCTTGTGTTTCATCTTATCAACAACTCCATAAGCCCCTCGACCGAGTACACAGAGGGTTTCAAGATCATCAGCCTCAACAATAAACGTTTTTTCACCTATTGTTATGGTGGTTCGTTTATCAAGATTTCTAGGTGGTGTCCTGCGAAATTTTTATTTATTATTAAAAAAAAAAATTGATACTTTTTATTCATTATTAATTATCAGCATTATTAATCAATATTTTTTATTCATAACTTCAATAGAGTACTCACACAGGCACGGGGGCCTCTTCAGACACTTGAAGCTTCAAATTTCTCTTACCCTTGCGCAAAGCCATTATTTATATATTTTACAATTTATAATTCCCAAGATTTCAACTTTAAATCACTCGAAAAGGAATCATCAGTCTTCCATGTCCTCTTGAACAATTGCAGATTGATTTTACACCTGCAGAACAAACAAGGACTTTGAGGTTACTCCAACACTTCGACGATTGTTCACTTGAAAACGAAAAAATATATTGCAGAAGAAATGAGTAACTTTAGAGATGATAAACTGAGACTGTCCCCAATATTTTGTCGTAATTGGATGTTATTTTTCATTTACCTCTTGGGCACAGATAAATTCAATGAATTCACTGTCCACATATGAAAATCCTTGCATCGAAACTTTTTTCACTGGGTCCAAAGAGGATTGACTGAAGTAGAGGTTGAGTTCTGGGGGTTTGAGTGACCCCAGCGGCATCGTAGTACTGCACCCCAAGAGAGGGAGGGCGCAACACGCAATGGTGGGGTGTTTTTTTTTTATTAACCAAGTTTTTATTGTAATGCTGGGGTGTCCATCAAGTCGACGGGGTGAATTTTATTTTCTGCTGTACGAATGCTTTTTGTTTTTCATTTGTTTAACTGAAATTTAGTCGACTGTAGCACGTACGGAAGGGGGAAACCACATCTCGTGGAATTTCAATGGAAAAAATTATTCAATGTATTGAATATATACCACTAATGAATTTATAATTTTAAATAAGCACGTTGGCCTAGTGGTAACGTGCTCGACTGGCACGCCGGCGGCCCGGGTTCAATCCCGGCATCATTCATTTTTTTTTT